CGAGGTGCTCTCCGCGGGGATCCGCCAGCGCCCGCTAGGGGAGCGCGGGGCTGTGGGTCGGGGACCTGCGCGCATACAAAGGGGGGGGTGTGGGGTCTCCGCGGCCCTTTGGCACCCAGGGCGCCCAGGGGCTGCTGGCCCGCCGCCCGCGGGCACTGACCCGCCTGCGCAGCCCCGGGAAACGGGCCTGGAATGCCTGTTGGGAGGAGGGCGGGGGGAGGGGGCCGCCGGGATCCGGAGTTGCTGGCTGGTCCGGCCTCGGGCCGTCCGCGCGCGCGGAGAATCCGTGCTGTGACCTGACCGGCGGAGGAAGTGACCCCCGACGCCGCTGTGCGCTCCCCCGGCGCAGGGGACACTGTATCTATAAATGTGCTGATGGCCATTAAGGTCACTCTGCTGCCGGGGGTGGGGCTCGGGTGGGGGAGGGGGTGGTGGCCGGCGAGGACACAAAGATGACTGCCCGCCTGCCCGCCCGCCCTGGCGGAGCGCGGAGCCTCACGCTTGCTTTCTCTCCCCTCCCCACAGGTGAGGCCGGCCTCTCTGCAGCCCGAGGCCTGAGCTCTGCCATGGGGGTAGGGGTGTCATTACTCCTGCAGTTTTCTCTGACGTCTGGGGGTCACCGGAGTGTGGGCCGAAGCCGGCGCTACAGCCGCAGGAGCCTCCCCAGCAGGAGCTGGAAAAAACCTCATCTCCAGCTCCACAGCCTCCAGGGTAGAGTCCAGCCTTCTTCACTGGGTTCCCAATCCATTCCACAGCCCCGGGCTCGGGGGGGCCCCCCGTCCCTGGAAGGAAGGGTGCCTGTGGGGGAAGGATCCCATTCTCAGATCCTGGAGCCTGCCCTGCTCTCAGTCTGGCCGCTGGGAATGAGTCATGTCTGTGATCCTCAGAGGAGTGCAGACTCTAGGGAGTTTAGGAGGATGTGTCTGGAGCTTTTGAACGGGGAAGTGAGGGTCCCTGAGGAGTCTAACCCCCATCCACCCTTTAGTGGGCTTAGGAGGCTGTCCTGCAGGAATCTGGGCTCCCTGGCAGTTTGGAGTTCCTGAAAATGGGGCAGCCCTTGCCGGGGTTGGGGCAGAACCAGACATAATCTCTTCTTTCCTCCCCTGCTCTTGCCCCAATAATCCCTTCCATCCGAGGGAGGCCGCGCCAGGGCCCTAGGCCCCCGGGGGAGCAGGTTGTGAGTGTTCCTTCCCGCAATGTCCTAATCATGCATGTGTGGGTGGAGGGGGGCAGGTGGGCAGAACGTGGGCACCGTCTGGACAGGCGGTGGCCTGGCCTCTTGCTGAGAGTAGCATCCAGCTCCCCTCCTGTTCCCAGCAGGGCTGTTCCCACCCCCTCTCCTGGCTTCTACCCTGAGAGACGGAGTTAGGGAGGCGGAAAAAGCCTTCCTCTGCTGTGATTAACATCAGGGAGAAGATAATAGGAATGAAAGGCTACAGAAGTTTCTATGAGAGCATTGCAAACTCAGGTTTTCAGAGGGAAGAACACTGACCTGGGAGTTTAGACCTAATCCTGGTTCTGTTGTTGGTTGACTGTGTCCTCGCAGGCCAGTCTTATCACCTTTTATGCCTCATGGTTGCTACATCTATCAAACAGAGAGCTTCATGTTTGCTCATCCAGCCTCACAGAGTTGCTGTGAAGCTGTTGTGGCAACAGGAAGTCGTAGGGACAGGAGAGGGCAGCAGGGCCGCACTTGGAAAAAGCACGAAGCACCGCAGAGAGAGGCGATACGCTTTCCGGAGAGGCAGAAATGCTTGTGCAGCCAATATGGAGTGTTTACTCCATGCCAGGCACATGGCGGCCAGGAGGGGGATTCCAAGAAGTGTCAGGGTCAATAAGACTCATGACAAATATACTTGCAATGTGTCTAGAAGCCCAAGGTTGAATTAATATAGAAGAGCAGCCTAGATTCAAGGGCTCTAGGGACCCAGCGGGGAGAGCTCCCTCGGGCTGGGGTGGCCGGGGAGGCATGGGGGCAGGGCGAGTGGACCTCTGGTGTGACTGTGCTTTTCCACCCACAGCAGAGGAAGAACCGATGCTGGAACGACGCTGCAGGGCCCCCCTGGCCATGGGCTCGGCCCAGCCCCAGCTCCTTTCTGGGCCCTCCCAGGAGTCGTCCCAGACCCTGGAGAAGGAGTCCCACGGGCTGAGGTTACGAGGTACCTCGGTGGCCCAGCCAGGCAGCCAGGCTCCAGGTCGGGTCCATCGCTGTGCCCACTGTCGCCGGCACTTCCCTGGCTGGGTGGCCCTGTGGCTTCATGCCCGACACTGCCAGGCCCGGCTGCCCCTGGCCTGCCCGGAATGCGGCCGTCGCTGCCGACACGCCCCCTTCTTGGCACTGCACTGCCAGGTCCACGCGGCTGCCACTCCAGACCTGGGCTTCTCCTGCCACCTCTGCAAGCAGAGCTTCCGAGGCTGGGTGGCCCTGGTTCTGCACCTGCGGGCCCACTCGGCTGCCAAGCGGCCCATCGCCTGCCCTGAGTGTGAGAGACGCTTCTGGCGACGAAAGCAGCTTCGAGTGCATCTGCGGAGGTGCCATCCCCCTACCCCTGAGGCCCGGCCATTCATATGTGGCAACTGTGGCAGGAGCTTTGCCCAGTGGGACCAGCTAGTTGCTCACAAACGGGTTCATGTAGCCGAGGCCCTGGAGGAGGCAGCAGCCAAGGCTCTGGGGCCCCGGCCCAGGGGCCGCCCGGCAGTGACTGCCCCCCGGCCCGGTGGAGATGCCGTTGACCGTCCCTTTCAGTGTGCCTGCTGTGGCAAGCGCTTCCGGCACAAACCCAACCTGATTGCCCACCGCCGCGTGCATACGGGCGAGCGGCCCCACCAGTGCCCGGAGTGCGGGAAGCGCTTCACCAACAAGCCCTACCTGACCTCACACCGGCGCATCCACACTGGTGAGAAGCCCTACCCGTGCACCGAGTGCGGGCGCCGCTTCCGCCACAAGCCCAACCTTCTGTCCCACAGCAAGATCCACAGGCGGTCCGAAGGGTCCACCCAGAGCGCCGCCAGCGCAGGGAGCCCCCAGCTTCCAGCCCGTCCCCTGCAATCCTCAGCAGAGCCCACCGCCCAGGCTCCACCGAGACCTGCCCAGGAGCCTACCCCCGAGCCTCTGCTGGAGGCGCCTGGAGAGGGCCCCCGGGACCAGGCGGAAGCCCCCCCATCTCTCTACAGCTGCGAGGACTGTGGCAGGAGCTTCCGGCTGGAGCGCTTCCTGCGGGCCCACCAGCGGCAGCACACGGGGGAGCGGCCCTTCATCTGCACCGAGTGCGGGAAGAACTTCGGCAAGAAGACCCACTTGGTGGCCCACTCTCGGGTCCACTCCGGGGAGCGGCCCTTCGCCTGCGAGGAGTGCGGGCGCCGCTTCTCCCAGGGGAGCCACCTGGCGGCCCACCGGCGTGACCACGCGCCCGAGCGGCCCTTCGTCTGCCCAGACTGTGGCAAGGCCTTCCGCCACAAGCCCTACCTGGCGGCCCACCGGCGCATCCACACCGGCGAGAAGCCCTACGTCTGCCCCGACTGCGGTAAAGCCTTCAGCCAGAAGTCCAACCTGGTGTCCCACCGGCGCATCCACACTGGCGAGCGCCCCTACGCCTGCCCCGACTGCGACAGGAGCTTCAGCCAGAAGTCCAATCTCATCACCCACCGCAAGAGCCACATCCGGGACGGCGCCTTCTGCTGTGCCATCTGTGGTCAGACCTTTGACGATGAGGGGAAGCTCCTGGCCCATCAGAAGAAGCATGATATCTGAGGGCAGGGGCAGCATTCGGGAGGAAGCGAGGCAGTGGGGCGGCAGGGCCTGTGCTGCTGTCGGTGTAGCGAGGGCTGGAGGGGCAGGCCCTGTTAGGGAGGTCAGCCTCCACACCTTAGGCCAGGGAACCCACTGCAGAGCACAGGGACCCGGCCTCCAGCTGGGGTTGGCTGAGGTTCCCTCCTCACTGTCCTGTGCCCTGGAAAAGTAGCAATAGCACCTGTACCCACCCCTTAGAGTCCGTCCTCCGCTGGAGGGGCTGCCGGTGGACAGGATGACCCTTCTCTGGTGTTAACGCCTTAATGTCCCTGCCTTTTATTTTGAGCTCCTTCAGCTTGTTTTTGGAAGTAGGTGTGGTACAGTCCGTAGTAAAGAGCGCTTGGGAAGCAAAGCGGACCAGCTGGATACAGCTGGGGGAACCTGCTGGCCTTGTTAGGCAGCCCTGGGAGGTGAAGCCAAGCTGCTCAGACCTATCCCACCCCAGTCCCCCCACCTGCCCCTGCATTGGCACCCAGTCTTGGAGAGACCCATCTACTGTTAGTCTCGGCTTCCCCTTCCTTCCTAGAGGTCAGTTCTGGTTTCTGCACAGGTCACCCCATTTGATTTTTTAAAAAATATATATATTTTTATTGATTTCAAAGAGGATTGGAGAGGGAGAGAGAGAAGCATCAGTGACGAGAGAGAATCATTGATTGGCTGCTTCCTGCACACCCCCTCCTGGGGATCGAGCCTGCAACCTGGGCATGTGCCCTGACCTGGAACCTAACCATGACCTCCTGGTTCATAGGTCAACACTCAATCACTGAGCCACACCAGCCAGGCCCATCTGACTTTTTTTTTTTAATTTTATTTTTATTGATTTCAGAGAAGAAGGAGGAGGGAGAGAGAGAGAAAAACATCCATGATGAGAGAGAGTCATGGATCAGCTGCTTCCTGCACGCCCCCTACTGGGGATCGAGCCCACAACCCGGGCATGTGCCCCGACCGGGAATCGAACCCGGGACCCTTCAGTCCGCAGGCCGACGCTCTACCCGCTGAGCCACACCAGCGGGGGGGCCCATTTGACTCTTTATCCACCAGCCTCCCCATGCTTAGAGCACCCCCTGGCTGTCAACAGTCCTGTGTCCAGGGTTTTGTCTAAACACCCCAGTCATCTTTCACACCTTCCAGAACCCCACATGTCGTAGTAGGATTGCCTGGCTGATATCGGAGGGCGATAGGGTGAGTTCCCTTTTCCACATTTCTAGTGTCTGGATGCCTAGCCTCTGCTTGGACACTTAGGTAACA